CAACTAATGGTGACATAGATACTTTATTATGGTATAGTATTTAAATGTATGCCCGAGAAACACATAATATTGCCCCTTTAAAAAATCATTAAGATTTATCTTTCTTAAGACTCAAATTTCTCATCATTTCACGAAACACAAATTAAYGAGGCTGCATGTGACCTGGCGAGTGAAGTGGCCAATGAAGGAGATGCTCTGATACTGTAGCTGGTGGAGTGTCTCAAACTCCTTCCTACCTAAGCTGCAAGAGTGAGCCAGAAGTAAAAGCCATCTTTAAGAAAGAGCTGGAAGGGTTTATGAMAAAGAATGTGGATTTTCTCATTGCTGAGGTAAACTTATTTCACTGAAGCRTATTTAATTTTCAAACGTTAGAGTCAAATCCACTTCGGTGTAAGGAGTCGGTGGTGTCTGTCTGCTGTGACTGCAGTACTTTGAGCACGTTGARGAGGCAGAGTGGGCCGTGCAGGTGCTGAAGACCAGCGGGAAGCCCGTGGCTGCAACTCTGTGCACCGGCCCTGAGGGAGACATGTACGGTCTCTCACCTGGAGAGTACGCTGTCAGGCTGGTGAAGACTGGTAGGTCCTCAATATGCTGTTATCATGCTTAATTATAGAGTTATTAGGATAATGAAACACTGTTACCTGCAGGGGCTCAGATTGTGGGTCAACTGCCACTTCAACCCCCTGACCTGTGTGAAGGCTGTGAAGACAAGTGGAAATGTTTATTTCCCCTTTGGTGAAGCCTACAAGCGATAGGAAGTACCTGTAACAGTGATGTTCCCACGTGGAGGGGTAAAATGTCACTGCCAAAACAATAAACCTGAATTTTACCTACATTACACAGCTGACACTGGATTACTGCAACAAACACAAATCCTTTCAAATATACAACTCACAAACACAGTGACCGACAAAAACAACACAAACCATTAAAAAAATAAATAATCCAGACCAAACTAGAAGCAAACTGTTACAAAGCWGTCATTCAGGTCCAAAGAGAAGGAAAGGGAGTAAACACTGCAGTTATGTAACTTACTGCTTACCAATCAGAGTAGCTCTCACTAAGACCCTCCCCTGCTCCGGAGCGATTTATTGTGGTCCCCTGCTCGGCTCTAATGTCACTTCAGCTTCTCGGAGTCTGAGCTGTCAGGGGTCCACGCAGCCACAGGGTCATGGCACCAGTAAAGAAGGTTAGTGTGAACGTTCCGAAGGCTCATCCTGAAAAAATATTTATACAGTACAACAGATGTATGATATTGCTCTCACTTTCACTGTAAAGATCAGTTGTTTTAATGATGATTCATCTTAATTATATCCACTGGTACATTTTTTTCCAGTTCGATGCACGTTATGTACTGTGATACAGTATGTACAGTATGGGGTGCTGGGTGGGGGGGGTCATATTGTGAAACTAAGGGTGTATTTTGAGACGAGGGTTTTGTGATCCTGATAAATATTCTGCATACCTGGCATGTCAGCTCCACATGTCTCTGACTAGCTGACACTCCAGCTGTTGCTTCAGACTTACAGTAAGACACCTAAAACTGCTGGAATCTCAAACATGGAGAGAAGTTTAAAAACATCTTTTCAAGTAGTTCAAATTACAATTTATTCATGTCATGTTTAAGAACTAAGAAAAACTGATTGACTTTAGTGAGAAACAAGATTTGTTACTCTTACAGCACCGATTAAAAAATATGAATTAGTGTTGTTTACAGTTCTAAAAACTGAATCTCTTACAATCTCTTAATTATGTCTATTAAAAGATGTTTCTAACTCAGGAGTGAGAAAAAGTTCATCTAACATCTGAGTCATCATATTGGTTATACTCTTCCCAAAGCTGAATTGTTTAATTGTTATGAACTGAACTGTTTAATCCTGCCAACAGATGTGGATGCAAATTCTTTTTGCAGAGTCTTAACTGCGAAAAACTCTTAAAAAAGTCAAAATTTTACCTCTAAATAAGCATTTGGGAGTGAACGGATGAATCAATTAAACTGTTATTTTCCRACTCATTCTCACTGTGATAAGCTGAAAGTATCACAAGTGTGGGACACTCGTGCAAAACATTACTGGATTAGCAAAAATTCAAATCAGCTGTTTTCCTTTTAAAGTTATAGAGTTTAGTCAAGCTGCTAAGACTGATCTCACCATAGCTTCAAAGCTTTTGAAGGCTCCCAATGATGAATGATTACAGGGCATCTTGGAGCGTCTTAACGCCGGAGAGGTGGTAATCGGGGATGGAGGGTTTGTGTTCGCTCTGGAGAAGAGAGGCTACGTGAAGGCTGGACCCTGGACCCCTGAGGCGGCTGCAGAGCACCCAGAAGCTGGTGGGAACATATTGTTTTTTAACTTTAACATCTTTTTTCAATCGAAAATGCAATAAAATTGCGTCTTTTCAGTTTTCTTCTTAATATCATTGTGGATTTTAGCTTTTTGTTTTAAACAGATCTGCTGAGTCACAAAGTTCACATGAAAAATAAAAGCAAAACTTTCAAATAGAAATGACTGATCTATAAATAAGCATAACAGTGATTCTTTAAAGTAGATTTTTAAATGTTTTTTGTACCAATTACCCCTCAAACTTTTTATTGTAACCTTATGATGGTGTCTCTTGTTGGCTTGCAGTGCGTCAGCTGCACAGGGAGTTCCTGCGGGCCGGATCCAACGTTATGCAGACTTTCACCTTCTACGCCAGTGATGACAAGCTGGAAAACAGAGGCAACAAGCTCACCTTCACCGTAAGCTAATCAGGACGTCAAATTCAAATAATAAAATAAAACTATCTTAGTTGAAGGAGGGAAAGGTCACTGTGCTTCCATCATCAGGGTGCTCAGATCAACGAGGCCGCCTGCGATTTGGCCCGGGAGGTCGCCAACGAGGGCAACGCTCTGGTTGCGGGAGGAGTGTCCCAGACTCCATCCTACCTCAGCTGTAAGAGCGATACAGAGGTGAAGGCCATTTTCAAGAAACAGCTGGACGTCTTCGTCAAAAAGGACGTGGACTTCCTCATCGCTGAGGTACAGTCTGAACATTACAAACTAGCAAAGAGGAAACTCATTTTGCAGACTTGGAGGGAAACCAGATCTGACGCAGCTTTGTCCCGCAGTACTTTGAGCACGTCGAAGAGGCTGTGTGGGCCGTGGAGGTGCTGAAGGAGACGGGGAAGCCCGTGGCTGCGTCTCTGTGCATCGGACCTGAGGGAGACATGCACGGCGTCTCACCAGGAGAGTGCGCTGTCAGGCTGGTCAAAGCTGGTAYGTAAAGTGCCCAACATGTCTACCSTTACAAAGAGGGAAAAGAAACATATCCACATTGTGTATCTGTTATGTAAAATATATTTACTTCATGCTTTAGGGGCTCAGATTGTGGGAGTCAACTGCCACTTTGACCCCCTGACCTGTGTGAAGGCTGTGAAAATGATGAAGGAAGCGGTGGAGAAGGCCGGGCTAAAGGCTCACTACATGGTGCAGCCGCTGGCGTACCACACGCCTGACTGCAACTGYCAGGGATTCATCGATCTGCCAGAATTCCCCTTTGGTAGGATCACATGTTGCACTTCTAAAAAAAGTCATTTACTCACTTTAGACTCCCTCTGCTGGTCCACTCTGAAAACTTAAAATTAGCTAATCAAATCTTTATACAGACCCTCATTTTCTCTACAAACACATTTTCATTTTCCTGTCAGGTCTGGAGCCCAGGATCCTGACCCGCTGGGACATGCACAAGTATGCCAGAGAGGCCTACAACGCCGGCATCCGCTACATTGGCGGCTGCTGTGGCTTTGAGCCGTATCACATCCGGGCTGTGGCAGAGGAGCTGGCTGCAGAGAGGGGAACAATGCCTCCCGGATCAGAGAAACATGGAATGTGGGGAGCTGGTCTGGAGATGCACACCAAACCCTGGGTCAGAGCCAGGTTAGAAGCGACACCTATCTGCTACTCTGTGCATATCCATCTTGTTAGCTCCATGAGACCAGCGGCTAATGCTTTTTTTATTATTTAGAGCCCGCCGTGATTACTGGGAGAACTTAAAACCAGCCTCTGGTCGTCCGCACTGCGCCTCCTTGTCTGTCCCCGATGGTTGGGGTGTTACCAAAGGCCATGCTGATCTCGTGCAGCAGAAAGAGGCTACGACCAAGGACCAACTCAAGCAGCTGTTCGACAGGTCAAAGACCCAATGAATCCTTCCATTGCTCTCACATCCGGCAGCTGACATGRGTCAAACAGCTGCACTGTGAAGCTTCTTGTGATAGAAATAATACTTTTAGGTTTAAGCCAGTTAATTCATGACATACTTTAATGACCTAGGTTTTCATGACATGCTGTTTATCAGTAAATAGACATTCTGATGGCTCAATGTTGTTCTCTGTGTTCCTGTTGTTGCAATAAAACTCAGCTGACCATTCCACGGACTACCTTCATTCTTGGACCACATATTTCTGTCTTTGTTAAATAAATATTTCCATAACAGCTGGTGTTGTCGCAGGGCCCACTAGGAGATCGACGGACCAAGGCCTCATCGCAGGTGGACTGATATGAGTGAGCAAGGACTGCTCAGGACCGTGACGCCAGCTGGATCTAAAGAACCTTTTTAASAACAGAAATATGATGGTGACCACCGACCGTGATGGATGATCTTGAATAAACAGAGAACAYTGGATTTTAWTTTTTGCTGTTGAAGAACCTGAGAAGATTTTGAARCATCARCTGCTGAGAGTGAGYACAGAAAAGCTTCAAGATGCCTCCTTTCTTTTCCAAAGAGGATTTCTGCCAGCTTCTCCAAAAGATGACGGTGTTGGAGCTCAAGATTCATCGTCTGGAAGAGATGAATGCTYTGGAGAACTCAACATGTGTTAAAATGGGTGAGAAGGCTGAGATGAGAGATCAACATGGAGAGGAGATGGAAGCTGCTTCTGAGAGTAAAGCTGTATGGAACTCTCTTGGTGCCAGACCAAAAAATCTCTCAAGAAGAAATCAGCTCTTAGACGACAACAAATGGCCAGAGTTACAGAGAAATGCTTTTTCTCCACCAGCAAGGACAAGGAAGCGACAGGCTGGAATCAAAACAACTGATAACGGCCAGAGAAATGAAGACAGAGCAGTCTTTCTTCAAAACAGATTCACACCACTGGAAGAAACTGGTTAGTCTGAACAAAGTTCACTATCTGACCTCAGAGAGGGACCTGAGACCAGATCCATATTCAGCTCAAAGCCAAAGGAAGTCCAAAGAGAGACTTTCAAAAATCAAGAAATGCTGATCATCAGAGATAAAATGGTGAATGARATCAGASRCTTCTGGAACAAGAAAAAAGTCAAAGTTCTGAGCTTTGCTGATAAAGTRTCTGACCTCGCAGAGAAGATTCTGGAAATAATAGCTGAGTWTCCARCTSTGAARACACTCATCATTYATACAGGAAGTGATGAAGTTATGAACCGACAGTCAGAAATCCTGAAGAAGGATTTCATTCAGTTAAAAATCCCAACATGGATGTGTTCCTCAATGGACCAGTTCCTACAGCAAGAGTAGGCGCTGAGAGGTTCAGTAGACTTTTTGCTTTTCATAMCTTTTTGGAAAAGTTCTGTACTGACCACTCTGTGAGATATGTGGATAACGTTGATCTCTTTTGGGCGAGACGGCATCTGTTCAAGTCTGATGGAATGACTGAATCAAACTAGAGCTCAACTTCTGGTTTCAAACATGAAGTATTTCTTGAACCAAGTTCCAGCTGGAAATAACAGAAAACAACAGCATGATCAGCTGACATTTGAGGCTGAAGGTCAACAGCAGAAAACTGAGATATCGATGGAAAACAACGTGCAAGTGGCTGATAAGAAGACTGCTGCAGAATCAGAACCACAGAAAGRGGAATTACTTCAAGCTGCAGAACCGRAAGAACATCTGGATTCATCAACATTGCAACCAGAGAAACCCAAACCATCAACTAAAAAGGAGAAGGTACACACTACACCCAAGGAAAGGAAGTACTGGYATGGATACGACATTGAGGACCCTGTGGAACAAGCTGTGTATCGTTTGGAGTTATGCACAAAGCTACAGTATTGTTCAGCGTGGTATAAAGAAAATGGGACAGAAAAGCAGTTTGAAGGGTGGAAAGAGAGAATTATGAGCAAATATGCTGATGATGAATATTTTTATGTATGGGTGGAATAAAAATTGAATTACTGGGGTTGGGATTTTAGAAAAGTACATGAACTTAGGTTTGTGTTGACATATTTTTTAATACATAAAAGGTTTTTTTAATTGATCATTTAATGATCAGATGGGGGAGTGTGATGGAAATAATACTTTTAGGTTTAAGCCAGTAATTCATGACATACTTTAATGACCTAGGTTTTCAGAACATGCTGTTTATCAGATAGAATGATCAAAGTCTGAACAAGATCTACTAACAACAATCATTCTTAGATATCACTTGTGTTTAACTTTGTGTTTTCCCTTGACCCAGCATTTCCTTAAACAGTATATATGAGGCCTCAACTKCCTCAGTAAAGGAAAAACAGGAGCAGAGAGCAGCGGGACAGTCTGATGGCTCAATGKTGTTCTCTGTGTTCCTGTTGTTGCAATATAACTCAGCTGATCATTCCACGGACTACCTTCATTCTTRGACCACGTRTTTCTGTCTTTGTTAAATAAATATTTCMAYAACACTTCTGACATACTGAGGTRTGYAGTATCTGTTTAAGATGTGGTGGCTAACGTTAAGAAGCAAATTCTCACTTGAGRCTGCACTGTTTTATAAATGTGTCACTTGTAAAAATGGGGCCACAGAGTCAAATTAAACTATGGCTCATGATGAAAAGAGGGACCTGTTTGTTTTCTGTAGTCCTGGTGGACCAGTTTGTTTAATAAAATGACACCTAACAAAGTTTAAACTGATTACTTGACTGTTKAAATTTCTCGCTGAAATAAACCAAAGCAATAAAAATTTCATTTAAGCTGCATAGCAATGTTGATTATTGAAGTAATGTCATTATGCCATTGACTAAAGAACACAAAAACAGAAATGTATGACTAAACAAATGCATGTTACTCAACAAGCATAAATAATACTAATCATCTGAAGTCTATGGTGAACTTAAAAACATTTTGGACTGTCAAAAGGACTTAGGGATGCATATCAAATACAGCCATCAGAACCCTAATCATAATCATAGGACAGGCTACACTATAAAATCCAAATAAATCAGTAATGRCATTATTTCCACGTGACACATTTGTTATCACTCAATCACTCTGACCCACTGTGGGAACAAAGGTTTGGATAATCAGACCGCTCTKCTTTTGAACAGGTAGATTTAGTTCTATTCTGTGATGGAGCAGAACTTTATTTATTCTAGATTTTGTATTGTGTCGGGATTAATCTATAGTTGTAGTGCAACATCTGCTTTTATAAAGGATCTCTGTTGCAATTGTCGTCTATGATTGGACGAGCTTTAGCCACGTGTCTTAGATCTTTTATTTTTTTCTAAGGCAGAGTGACAGATTTCTCCTTCCACGGTGGTTTTATACTGACATYATCTGTTGTATTTTTTTCATGTACAACTGCTATATTATTTCTTCGAAGCTTTGYTGGACCTCGACTAATTTGATGTTTTCCAGTGGTGTCCGAGAGCTGTATCATCATGGCTGTTTGACCTGGCTCTACTTTCACTTGACAACCTTAATTCTGTCGACTGCTTGGCACAGCTAGGTAATGTCTGGTCATTGTGAGTTTTAAAAATTAAAATAACCCTTACCGAATAGCTCTGCACCCCATTCTAAGACGTCTCCCGCGTCTACAWCCTTTAAAATAACCTACATCTTCTGAACAGTAAATGTCATTGTTTGCTTTGCTATCAGCGACCCCTTGTGGTGTAACAGTGCAGCTACAAGAACCGGAAGTACAACCTCTCTGAGGTCATGGGAGGCAAAGTCAGCTCCAAAATGGCGGCTCCCACCGCTAGAATAATTCAGGTAAAGTCGCTACTAAAATCTTAATAATTCTTTTGCATTTTGTACTTTGTTTTGTCTGGGAATATTAAAAAGTTAAATATTAGATTTTAAATGTTTACGTTTTGATTTAGGGAGATAATTACCTCATTTGACGATGCTACTTAGCTAACAATACCGTTCGTACCCTTGATGCCCTTCGTTAAACCAAAACACAATCAATTATGTTCTTTACAAGTAAGTTTGGACAGTATTCCTTACTTGTATTAAAATAGGATTTAAAGTTGAGTAACATTTTAGTTGTTTTGGCACAGTTGCGTGACATTCTGTTACATCCTCACAGCGCATAAAACAAAAATACTGATAAATATCTATCTCAAGTCTTATTCAAACATTGCATTATAATAACATATTGTCACCATTTAACTTGGAAAATAATTTTGTGTAGTTACATACCTGAATTACGTTTAACCTATTAGCTGAGTAATGCAAATGACTAAAGCTTAAAATGAATTGTTTTTGTTCTTAAAACAATAAAGCCATATTATTTTTGATTATATTGCAAGGATTTACATTTACCTAATTTCCCTTTGGGATCAATAAAGTATTTTTGAAGTTGAAATTTTTTAAATTGAATTAAAAGCCTAAAACTTTAAATTTTGTGGCATTAATCAAAAACAGTTGAAATGATCTATAATTAATTGACTTATTTATTTATAATCAGCCAGTGGTCTGATGGTCTAACACCTATAGGGAGTAAAATTTACATTCTTTGCAGCATTTTGTCCAAGTGGAGCACCATAAAAGTTTTAAAACATTTTGGAAGTTAGATTTCCTATTTACTTTGATTATAAAACGGGTTTAATTCTTTACAGATTTAAAATGTCTTATTTACAGACACAACCCGCTTTTATTTTGTTGATTTACACTGTGATGGCCATATTCCTTGTAAAAGGTAAACTGTGGAGGGTTGCAGGTGAAATATATACAGAAATGTGATTGTATAAAATTACATATTATTTTGTTAAAATCAAAAAGTCTTCATGTTTTCAATTTTCCAGGCTGTACGGCCACATGCTCCTCTGATCAAGTTCCCCAACAGACAGGGTGTGCCAAAGCCTAATGGTAAGTTTATTTGAACATGCATCTTTGTCATTTAAAGCTCCTGCTGATATTTTACAAGCCCCAGCTTTAAATAGCGTAGATGAATCTAGTTTGACTTTCTTTTTATAGATGTGGGTCAGTGCTTCTATAATTGTTCRTCAGCTCTGGCTGCTGTTTGCAAAACTCAATAAACATGGAACTTTAATATTTACAATGTGAAAGTAATTTAAGTGTTTGTTTCTACCTAATAGCTGATAATCACTGCCTTTTCAATTTTTCCTCTTCCAGCCCAAGAAGTGTTGAAAATGTTAGCAGTTAATTTACCACAACAGAACGCTCCTTCAGCTGCAGCGTCAGCGCCGGTATCGAGTCTGCACGTCCCCCTGACTCCTGTCCCGGGCACGCCAGACACCCTGGCCTCCATCCAGCAGCTTCCTGCGAGGTACCGCAGGAGACCGATGACTGTGGATGAAATGGACTACATCCAGGTGAGATGCATGACTGGGCCTCCATTCATGATATGCAAACAATTAAAAAAACATCATTTTTTGCTGTTTTGTTTGTTTGACACCTTTTTTGTGTTTTTACGTGAATTCAAAGGGAGAGTTGTGTGAAGTCCTTATAGTTTTGGTTACTTTAATAGCTTATACCTTTTGTTTGATACAGATATTAGCTGGYAGCTAAGAATTTAAGACTTCATGCATCACACCATTTTTTCACCARGGCAAACTCAAAACTGCACAGGCCTAAAAATACACACTGGACTACCTTTTAATGTTAAAGTAGAACAATGATTATTTTTAAATGTTTTTTTCTGCTCCTCAGTGACTGACTTCAAGATCATTGATAAACCTAAACAACAGGGTGTGTTAGGTGGTTCAGTAGGATCACAGAACTTTTCCTGTGTGGACTGGTCAAAGTAAAAAAAAAAAAAAGAAAACACAGACTTAAAGCTTCTTACCTGCTGCTGTCAGCTTCTAAAACATTTTGAAGTCATGGTATCAAAAACGTCTATTTGTGTATTGACCAAAAACTTAATATTTACTTACTTTATATGTTACTTTATATTTAGGCTAACGCTTGCTGCTATTATGTGTCTAATTTCTGCACACTGGGCCTCATGCAAGAACCGTTCGTACGCACAGATTTGTTCTTAAGTTGTGCGTACGAGTGATTTAGGAGAATTTGTGGCATTCAMCAATGTTTTCGTATTCTACGATTTTTTTCAGATACGAACAAAATTCACGAGTGGTCCAGACCTGTCGTATATTTTACAATCAGTCAGTCTGCTGTTATCCAGACGGGTTTTCTTCACTAATAACTTTATATTTCGTTAGTTTGAAGATAATTTGAGTTGAAAATAAATCACACTCCATAATTATGTTGACAATAGGCTAGTCTGCTTGAATTAGAGTTATAATTTTAAATGTAATAATTTAGACTAACAATATAAATTGTGTACGGTGCACAGTGCTGTGTCTTCTGAATAAATGAAAATGATTTAACACAGTTGTTTATACTTTTAGCAGCTCTTTTTTATTCCACAGCTGACCTGCTAAAAAATGACAGATTTTCTTTTCTGGATCTCTGACAGACGGACTTCAATCTCTGAACTCGTAAAGTTTTTCTTTTTAGTTTTCACTGTAATTTTCATGAATGAACACTTCCTTGTATCTGAGGCAGGAATCATAGCCTTATATGGTGTTTTTGGGGTGGTAATTATGCTAATCTCCTCTCGCGTGCACGAGCAGCTGGATACGAACAGGTGGAATTTACGCAGCTCATTTACACACGTTTCCTGAAGATAGAAGAGTGTCGAATCTGACGTGACATGTTCGTACGAACCCTTTGTACGAACAAAAGTAAGAGAAATTTAGGAKARGAATACRAACATGTTCTTGCATGAGGCCCATTGTATCTAAGCATTTAATAATAGAYGACGCTGAGTAAACTTTCTTTTACGACAGTTAAACTTGCCACAGTTATATAGTAACATAACTATGTACATTAGGGTTGAGAATGAATAAAATACATTAATTTGACAGACATAAATAAATTGGTTTWAAAAAAACTTGTACTTTGCTCTCTTTGCAGCGTGGTGGACCAGAGTGACTCATTTTCTGCAACCAAAGTCCTTATCTGCTGGAGACCAGTCTGTCTTTATTCTGCTCGTCAGCACAATCCTGATACCCCGAGACATCTAGAATAAAGTATTACATGAAGCCTGTTGAAATGTACATATGTTTATTTTTTAAACGATTGCAGTGGACTCTGTGGTCACACTAAACAGTAATGTCCGTGTAAAACACTGAAAAGCCATAATAACAACTCTTCTGTTGAACTTTACTGGCAATCCATAGTTTCAACAAGTTTTGTTTTAGTTACATCATAGAACACAAGCTGGAAGCTGTGGTACATGGTATTTGCCATTTCAGGTTATAATGAATTGATSTGTTTATCACAATACACATTTAAATCAGTTCTTTAAATTGTGTTTTGTTCATGTGAACTATTGAATTGATTAAAAGAATATTGCACTTTAATTGTCGTGTTAACGTGTTTGACGGGAACCCAGCAGAACACAGAAACAGATGAACAATATTTAAATGACTGCAGGTATTTATTGTTACCATCGCTGGCATGCTTTAGAAGAGAAAACATTCACAACATCACAACTTCACAGCAGTGCGGTAACGCTGGCCACCGGTAACGTTTTTCTAAATATAAACTTCAGAGAGCTGTTAATTAGATGAATATTGGCACAAGTAGTACAGAGATAACAAGAGAGGTCAAAGGTGAACTCACCCTTCTGATTAGCAGCTTGCTTCGGTTCGATCAAAGCTGTGAAAAAGCAGCTGCACTTTTTAAAATTTAAGGGACACTCAGGCATTGGATAAATTGTTTCTGCATATTTAAGCCTTTTGGCCGAAAACTGAAATTACCAGCTTCTAAACRCATGAATTCAGAACAATTCATGGCTTTACAAAAATACATTTTTGATGCTCAAAAACCTAATAAATACTATCCAAGGGATTCATGACAGAATGCAGTATACTCAGTAAACAACAAGGAACTGTCACAAATGATTACAACACAAGAATGCACTGATGAGTTCTCTTTTTGTCCTACATGTTGATGGGTCACAAACATAACCAGCGTCTTATTAATTGGACATTTTGTGCAAACGCCAGGTTTTTAATGTCGCAGAAGCGATCTGTGCTCTGCGGTGGCAGCGCAACGACACGCATCAATCGCACTGTTCTTCCAGCTCCTCAAAAGCCGGGAGGAAATCGGCGATGGTGTCCACCACATAGTCAGGCACAAAGCTGTGGTTGGTGCTCAGGTCACTGTTTCTGTACCCCTGAGCCTCCTCGAACTGAGACACGCCCGTCAGAGTGAGCATGGTGTCCAGGCCGCAGTTGGACCCGAACAGCATGTCGGTCTCCAGCCGGTCCCCGACCATCAGGCACTGGGAGGGATCCACGCCTCGGAACTGGCTGGAGATGCACTCGAACATGAAGCGGCTGGGCTTCCCGATCACAGTGGCTTTACGACCCGAGGCCACCTCCAGGGCTGCGGTCAGGGACCCCGAACCTGTGGAGGGCCAAACATCAAAGCAGGGTTGGATTACAGAAACCAAAACAAACTCTTTGGACTAGAACTGTGTGCAGTTTGAGTACTTTGTACCAACTCATTTACATCAAGTATGTTTTATAGAAATGTTATTAGCAAAGCTGCATTTTTACGYCATCTTCTCTGCAGTTTATTGGGGGAAAAAACAACAAAAAAAGTTGTTTTCCTATTCACTGCCTCAGATTCTTGGCTGTATAATAAAATTACACATAATTTGGGTGGTAAAAAGTTCAAATAAGGTTGGATATTAAATTCTGTATTGTGTGTGTTAAGTGTTGATATAAAATGTGCAATTCATAAATAGTACTGCAGCAATAAATTACACCCCCCCCCCCCTTTTGCAGGAACCCCATGTCTCATCTGCAACCCTAAAAAATCCTGTATCTGCCACTGCAGACAAAAAGCACAGAACATATCTGTTAAAGATCAAGAGYCTGTGAGGTTTGTGGTGGGCAGTAATGTAATTTAGCAATAATGACATTATTAATGAGCTGAAATAAAACCAGTGAGCATCACCTGGGAGAATCCTCCCACCTGACAGCGGGTGCCAGGGGTCGTTGTCGGTGGCCAGGAACAGACACTCGGGGTCCCTCAGGTAGCAAGAAGCTTTAGCCAGTTTGAGAAAAGTCAGTTTGTCATCATGTCCCACCAGCACCGCCTTCACGTCCGGAGCCAGGGTGCAGTTGTAGATGGTGGCGTCCGGATCATCGTCCGCCTCCTCCACGCAGGGGACGCCCGCCTCCAGCAGCTCCCTGCGGAGCCCCTCGCAGCCCATGACGAACACCCGACCGTGGACCTTGACGAAGTCTCTCAGGTAGAGAGCCGAGCAGTACGACGAGCTGAAGATCTGGTCCAGCATCACGTCGGTGAAGCCCAGCCGGGAGAACTTGTGCACGTAATTCTCCCGCGGCCTGGTGCAGTTGTTGGTGACGAACACTACGTTTTTCCCGTGGCGGATGAGAGAACTGACCACCTTCGCCGCGCCCGTGATCGCGTTCTCCCCGTGCCATATGACCCCGTCGCAGTCGAAGAGGAAGAAGTCCTTGGCCTCGAGCAGACCTCGAATTTGCGGACCGCGGATTTTCTGGCAGCCTTTGAACCCAAAGGCACCTGCCATTCCGGCGTTTTCCTCGTTTTCTCCCGTCTTTTCACCTTTTAGTGGCGCCCCATGTGTGAGGCTGGTGCATACTATGATTAAGACGACGGCCTTGAATAACAGAAAAGCAAAACAACCGTGAAGAAATCACATTGCAGAGACCTTGGTGCGGCTCCCACACGGACAGACAGAGGGATACATAAACATTGACGCGTAGATGCTCTCGCTTGTCTGGGTTGACCAATCAAATTGCAGAACGGTAGCCAATCACGGTGGTGCGCCTGATGAGATTGATGCGCACCATTTAAATCCCGGCGTACGTGGCGGTGCGCAGAGTGGGTGGAGTTTAGAAATGTGAAGCAGATTCATGCCGTTTGGTAAATTTTAAAATGTTGTTTTTGATGCCAAAATGAAAGTGTTTTTTTTTGACAATATTCATTCAAATCATAAATTCTGTTGAATAAAATGTATTCCAGGCTGTGGATTACTTAACAATTAATAATGTTCAGATTTTTATTTAAGCTGTCTGAGTCATGTTATTAACACACAWTATGAACTAAATTGCATTTTCTGTGAAAACGCRGTGTTGAAATCTKTTGAAGATGCTGAAGGTGTGTTGTTAAAACAAGCAGAACAAAACTAAAATGGGAACATTTAAAAATATAAAATTCCAAAATTGTAGTCAAAAGTTAAAATTASAAAATATTTGACCTCAAGTTGGAGCTGTGACCCATTAATGTCTGAACACAGAAATGATTAAAGCCTTCGCCACTCCAATACATACAATATATTCATATCTTACTATGTTCTACAAGCTGTCTTTTACTA